ATCGAAGTTGCCCCTTCACACAAAACTAACCATTCATAAACTCTTACTTAAGCCGCTATGGAGTCCAAAGCTGGGGATCAGCTAAGAATTCGAACCTTAACAAAATACAAGTCTCACAAAATAAAATACTCCGTCTCGTTACCAATTCACCACCTTATATATCAAACCATACTCTACACTCTGATTTACAAATAAAAAAAATAACACAAGCTGCCAATGACTACTACAGACGATACCACAATTCTCTTAAAAATCACCCAAACCCCCTTGTAAATAATCTCACATTACCCTCAATGCCCAACAACCCACCAAAGAGACTTAAAAGGAAGTGGTGCAGAGACCTTCTCACTATCAATTAATTAAAAAACGAAGTTAATAACAGTGTCGTCAGTGGACGGCTTTTTTTTTCATACTTGCAATGTCTATAATTTACCTGTCGTCGTATATACTTATTATACTAAAATTGTATAGATCGTGTATGCAAAATAAAGAAGAAAAAAAAAATCACCCTAATTTATTTTTATTTTTCGGGGTCAATAAAAAAATTGCAGCATGATGTCGTTGACTTTTCGTCGAGACTAATCGTCTGACATTTAAACCGGTCAATTGGGAAAGTTATAATGGTAAAACAAACCCATACATTAAAACTAATACCTCCTCAGTCCAAGTTAAAAATAATAGAACTAAACTCGATTACAAAACGATGAGAGCTACAGTCGTTTTTAAGATTATATTATTGATGTATCAGTCGGTAACACTTTGTTTTAGATGATGAATGGGAGTATGAAGATGTCAACAATAACATTGAACTTAGTAAGCCAATTCAACCGATTAGAGTACCAACGTCTGAACGGCATGGATCAGTTGAAATTAGTGAAACAATTGAACCGAGTGAACCGATTGGACCGAGTGAACCGATCATTGAACCGAGTGAAGTAGCTAGTACTTCACGCGGTGTGACTCCCAGTAACAGACATCCAATAGGTGTGTATTATGACTACCATGGTGATCCAGCAGTGGCGTCACGTGACGGATCGAATCATAGTAATGAAGGTACACAGAATTTCACAAGTACAGGTAAGTGTAATTCGACCTCGGCGTAGAGTTATTATCGTGTTACATTATATCACATTTAATTTATTGAAAACGTTTCAATAGGTGTAGTCACCATCTTAGATTCTGTAACCCAGTCGTTTGACGGCGAAACACTCGTCATTAACGGCATCTACGTCCCAGAAATTCAAGCAGAAGATCTACGGTGGATACAATGGGGTGAAGGTACACTCAAGATCAACGGGATGGAAAATGAAAGATTCAAGGGAATACCAGGAAAGGGAACCCTGATTTTTTAATCAAGCAATAAGTCTACAATAAAAAATGAAAACTCATGTATCTAATTTCAAAAATTACAAACTGATTATATCCTAATTTAAAAAAAAAATGAAAATAAAAGAATATATTAAATACCGTATTTTGTAGTACTATATTTTATTTATTCAAAAATTATACCATAATAGTTCATAATATAATCACACATAACATCAAATTTATAATCGAATCGGTCATTTCAAAAACGACATGGGTCAGTCACTGTTTTTTCAAAAAAAATGTATGTATAAATTCGACACTTCTAGTTAAATAGTTAAGTATTTTTTTATTATTACCTATTTATTATTATTTATACCTACATTTTAGAAAACGAGTTGCTATTCCTTTTAAAAACAACTCAAGTTAAGTATGTTTTAGCCAAAGGTTGACTATATTTTAAAACTATGAATCACAGATAATATAATACAAGTCATACAATAGGAAAATATTTTTTAAAGTTTTTACTTAATTTTTCTACTCCTGCGGTATGACATATTTTATAAACTTATATTGTAGATATATCAAAGAGTGGTTCAGGGTTCCACCAAGGAAAGTTACAGGTATAGTTATCAACTAAAAAAAAAAATGAAATCTATCATCGCCTCCTAGTTTTTGGTTTTTGTCAGTTTTTAAGCATATATTAGAATATAGAATAAGTCATTTTTAAAATGCTTACAGGCATGCAGTAGGCCAAAATGAAAACTGATATCAAATTCATATAATAATGTTAGCGCTAGGAGGTTTATAGCTAGCCATCTAAAAACGTAAGTAAAGTAAAATAGAAATTGCTTGTGCATAGTTTACGGGAAATCCCGATTATATATATATATATATATATATATATATATATACTACTTTGATATACTGACAAAATTATGACAAGTTTTAAACAAAATATTAGCAAATTGACTATTATAGATGACGCTAGATTAACATGTACGAGACATTTTTAACGATAATACATATTACATACATTAATTGTAATTAAATTGTCTAACTAACGATTAAATCTAAAATTTACTACAGTTTTTTTTTTAAGTAAAATCAATTTAGTATTAATTTTCACTATTCAGGGGGCTCCATACAGACCATTTTTAAGGAGTTTTGTATAGGCAATATTTATGAAAAAATTGGCTTAAATAAATTTCGACCATGTCAATAAATTTACCGGTTAATTTGTACAAGCTTCAAGGTATTATTTTTAATTTAAATCATTTTGTCTATGAGTAAAAGCCATTTTAGTTAATATGACATACATTTTTTGTTCCATCGCACAGGCTCAATCAGTAGTCCGATAAGTAATATGAAAACAGATTTGAATTCGTCATGAAATTTACTTGAGATCGGTCAACGTACTTTTTTGATATCTTATTCTTACTATGTATAAAACACGTTTGAACATTTTATAAAATTTCAACATTTTAAATAAAATTTAGAAAGGGTTAAAATTAAAAATTGAAAAAAGTACCTCGACCGATCCTAAGTAAACTTCATGAAAAATTCAAATCTGTTTTTAGATTGCTTATCGGATCACTGGTTTGGCCTGTGCGATGGAATGAAAATAATGTGTTTTGACTGAAAAAATGGTCTATATGGAGCCCCTTTAAAATACTGTTGGAAACATTCCGCATTTGCCCAGTCGGAATTCTTTATTATTTTGACAAATCGGGAACGACGTCAGATAGTCCGCAGATAACTGCTTCAGCCCATAATGGTAATTCCTTACCATCGCCAGTGTATCATTGGAGATGCAATGAAGACATCTGCTCGGCATGCAGTAGTTGACCAATCCGAATACATCAGTTTTCTCCAGACTGATAGAATTCTACAAAACAATACTTAATTAGCAATTAAAATTTAAAAAAAAAAAAAAATTAATTAGATTTAACTGTGTTAACATTTTTAATATGAGATTTATCATAAGTCAATAATTTTCAAGTATAAATACATATTTTTACTTGTAAGTTGTCAGACACTTAGGAAAATATAAATATGTTGATTTAATCATTCTAGCCTGATGTTAATGGTGGACTCCAGGTCTTATGTACACACAAACAAAATGTCAAAAAATAGTAAAAACTAATTTTTTTCCTCCTTACATCAATACAACTATTAATTTCAAAATTACTTTGGACATACTATATTTTAAAACTTGAGATTTATATATGAGAATGAAAGAATAGTAAACATAAAAAAAATGGAAAATATCGATTTCGGATGAAAATATTCATACTACCTTTTGCAACTGGTGGACTCAATTAAGATATCGCCGCCTCGGTAGAACAATGATGACTCGGCTGCAAAAATTGAAATTTTACAGGAGAACGAAAAACTCAAATTATTTTTCACTAAAATGTTAATAATTCACGAATGCACAGTTAGTTATTACAACTAAATTATTACAACTACAGTTGCATCGTTTTGCTACCTCATGCGTTCGATATATTAAAACACATTGAAGCATTTAGTCCATTTTACTAAATTGTGCAGTTAGGCAGGATCATCATGCTGTTGTTGGAATGCATAAAGCGTAACCGGTCATCGCCCAAAGACTTGCAAAATTCGAACGGAATACTTTTGAGCACAGCCACATGTTGGCGGTATCTCTGCGTATTAAAGTCTTGCATTCTATTCTTACGCGCACAGTGCTTAAGTTGTGTCAGTTTAAAATTAAAAACAAAAATAGAAGCAAGATAATAATACATTTACGCTGTTTACGAATTTCAAGTCGAAAATCGGAGGAAGGAGCTCGCGTCAACTCTCAAAGCTGGCAGGCGTAGGGAGTGGTTTTATATAGTTAATAAATCGCCAACTTAAAGCTTTAATACTTAAGAAAATAATATTGTTGTTCAATGCAATATTGATATTGCATCATTGATAATATTACAATAATAACAAAAATAAATAATTTAACTAATAATACTGTTGCAGCGCGCACTTGCGTCCCTGACAAATGTATGGTGTGAGGAGTTGGTGGACTCCTCTAGTTCTATTTTGATTTGTACTGATTATAAGATACCATTGCAATATGTTTGACGGAACGGGTTCAGCTACTACACATGGTACTGGATCATTTTTAAGACGAGCGTAATATTGTTTTAATCTAAGCGTAGCAGATGATGTCTTTGGTGGCATAATTATATTTTGTTCGTATATTTGTTTAAAACAACTTATGGGAAAAAATGAATTCCCAAATAGTTACATGAACATACCGGTGCGCACAATAAAATATAATATTTATCTCGTTTCTATAACAATACAATTTCTGAAAAAATAATAATATAAGCTAATGAATTATTACTGAACTTCAACTAAGTAGGCAATAATTCCAACAAACACGCTTTAAAAATGTGTAATTTATTTAGTATTATAGTTATTTTGTGGAAAATGTATACAGAAATTAATTTTATGTACTTTACATTCAATATAGGTGGTAAGTTGTAATGAAAAATGTATGATACTGTGAAATATTGATAAACATGGCAATAAACGCTTGAAAACTCAATAATTATTTATTTTTCTAAATATCCTTCAGGTGTGCAATATATTTTATCTTTTATAGGTACAATTAGATCCATACATTAATATGTATTTAAACGCCGTAGGGACTTTAAATAATCATCATAGATGTGCTTTGCCTGACTTGATGATTCGGCTCCACTACTGGCATCACCACTCGTCGCTTTCATTTCTCCTTTTGGGTTGTTACCACTGGCTGCCATGTCCTTTATATAAAAAAAAATTAAATTGAAAAGATGCACGTCAGTTTTTTATAATTATAAAATTAATTAATTATAACATGTACATGTTATTTGTTCTGCGATGACTATTTATACAAACTAAAGTATTATAATATGAAGTATAGCAAATAAGGAAATAATAACAATTTTATTGAAAAATAGATAATGGTATCTTTTTATTTTTATAATGTAATAACAGAATACGATTTTTAATATTTGGACACATTTTTATCTCATAACAAATGTTAGATGCCATCTGTGTAATATAGAATAGACAATTGCTAAGATACAAAATACTTTTTCGAGGTATAGTTGATTGTGTAAATACTAATTACATAGTCAATTATTAATTGGTTGTTTTAAGGCACCTTAAATTTTTCTTACAAGGTTACTACATCTTTTATTTTTCATATTTGTTTAAAATTATTATCCATCATTAAACCCTTCTGACTCACACTATTTCTATTTTCATGGCATATTGATGAACTGTATAAGATATTGTTTAATCACATAATACAGTGTACAATAATCATACAACATGCTTATGATTGTTTTTAGACAATAAATACTAAGTCAAACATTAAATACTGTATTTAAAGGACTAGGTACATGGTTTGATTATATAACCAATACTATAAATATAAAAATATCAAATATTTGATTAGATGCCAATAAACATATGTTTAGGCTTATTTAGTAATTACTCCGTTTGTATCTAACCTATATAAATTTTTGTTTTTTTTTATTAAATAAAATAAACGCCAACTGATTTTTACATATTAATTATATACCTCTCTAACTTGACGTTGTTTATCATCGATATTATAATCGCCTTCTAATTGTTGCTTTGCCTGACTTGATGATTTGCCTCCTCTACTGGCACCACCAATTGTCGTTTGCATTTTTTCATTTGCTTTGGTACCACTACCTGCCACGTCAAAAACAAATACACATGTAACAAATGTTGTAGACAAAGTTTGTTAATGCACTAAAAGTTGTAGGCTTTGATATGTGTCCTAGAAATCTGGCAACAGCTTTTGTACTCTACAATAAGGTTTTGTAAATTTTACCGTAATAGAATATTAATAAATATAGCGGATTCGTTTAAAAAGAGTAAAAAAATGAATAGGCTGTATAAAAATTAAAAACAGAATATGTAGTGTGCAGCTATAACCGAAGAATGGTTATGGTTGTACGTTTAAACCTGTACATCTATGGTCTAATGTATACAAATATATTTATCACACAGAACGACATACCTGAGTGTATGTTTGTTAATATCACAAAAGCCAAAATCAACCCGGTTCTTAAATGGTTCATGATACTCGGAACTCTAATGTAAGACTAATAAGGAATGATAAAATTTTAACAAATGAGCAATACCAACAGTTCACGGTTATAATTCTAATTAAAATATCAGAGTACAATTTTTAAAAACACAATAGTTGAACACTAGAATCGGCTATGTTACACAAAATACACCAGCTATGTTGTTTTTACTGGCTTTGTACCTCACTTGTTTGTTTTGTACATGTTTTTTTTTATGTTTGAAAAATACTTCTTATATAATTTAAGTTAAATGGTAAATGTATGACGAAAACAGTATTCGTTCTAAGTCTTGTATACTTTAATACACTCGACGCATCGAAACGTTTGAAAGCAGGGCCAGACTTAAAGGGGGTGTGGGGGGGTTTGACACCCCCCCACTCGGAAAACTCAAGTATACCTAGTCGGCACATTCCGAACAAAAAGTCGGTAAATATTATATCCGCCATAAAATTATACAAATAACATATTTATTATTTTAATTTTATAAAAGTAGGTAGGTACATAATTTTTATTGGAATCTAGCGACGAATAGTGAATAGTCGGCATACGGATGACCATACGAAAATATAATTTTAGTTTTTAGTAAAAAAAAACAATGCATTTTCGGTTATTCCCGATTTTAGCAGAAGTATTATTATTTGTTTCTAATAACTGTGGTGTTTATTATTATATCAAACGATGTTTGGTCATGGGACCTATTGGTCTATTGTAAACAAACATTCTATCCCTCTATAAGTATATATTTTTATTTTAGTTTTAAAATTCTAAAAGATTCCCTACTATAAAAAAAAACCTACTCTTCTGTTTTAGACATATCACATAACCCATAGTATTAAGTCTGCAGGCAAAGAGTTAGCGGGTTTATTTTTGCTTGTCCCGTGTGCGCGTGTAAAATAATAAGTATTGGTTATAAATGTGTGTAATCTAATATATATATATGGTTAGAGAATGAATATGAAACACCAAGGAGCTGCTAACAATCCTTTTGAGTCTGCCCGAGTAAATTTTGAACATAAGGTATGAGATGGATACGTATTTAGAATAAATCATTAAGCCAGATTTTTAAGGCCTATGAGAGTTCCTTGGTACTACTTCACTATGTCTTGTTTCTTCTTTATTACTATCGTTGCGGTGGGATATTACCTACTATAATATCCTACTATACTATATATATAGCGAGTAGGGAGTAGACATGAGCATTATTTTTAAATAGTGTACCTAACTAAAATAAAAATAAAATTGTATTTAGATAATAACTCATAAAAAAATACACTTTTGTTTTTATTTCAAAGATTTTAATAATAATTTTGAATACAATTTCATTATTTTTTATAAAATTATTTAAAATAAGGCTATTTGGATTATATCTCGGTTAAATTGTAGTTTCAACTGCAATACGTTATAATTATGTTAAATAAATTCAAACATTTTTAAAATAATGCTTTTAAAGTAGGGCTCAAATTTTTTTAGTATTGGTGACTGAGAACTGAAAATTTAGTAATAAATAAATTTGTTAGCTGCCTAAAATATTTCTATGCTTCAAAAACATTTTAAAAATCAAAAAAATCAAGTCACAAAATGTCATAAAATATTTACGAAAGTACCCAAATATTTTAGTCGGTAATTAAAATTTTAAAGTCGGCTTCTTCATTTTGACACCCCCCCTTGCATATTTCTTAGCACCGGCCCTGGTTGTATAGTTGCGAATGGACGGTAATAGATATACGTTTTAAATAGTTGATGATTTTAGCGATGACAATGAATAATGCGAATCAGTAATGATTAAAGTAAATGCTTTTATAAGTTTCGCCGGATTTCACGATTCACAAAATAAGATTAATTATTAACAATACGGTCGACGGTTGTAGATTAAAGTTAATGGTGGACGGTCGTCGGTCACAACGATAAACGAACTATTAATAAATACATAATATCAAATGGGTGATGTCTTCTTATCTGTTTTATCTGTTGTGTTCCTACTTCCTAGCGGTGCGGTATTAAATATTGATGTAGAGAAGATAAGGTGACGCCACTACAACCAAATCAGTGGGTCAAGAAATTACGGCATTTTACTTTATAACTTATAACAACTTAATCGTAACCACTTGGATTTTTTTAACATGGATATGTCATTGGGCTGGGGGGTCAATTGGAAAAACTTCCAATTTTTTATCTGTGTACACCGTAACTTGGAAAAGTTACGGTTTATACAGATAAAAAAAAACACATCAGAGTAAAACCAATACCTCCTCCGCTTTGCATCGAAGCTAAAATATACTTTTGAGAAAATTCAATTTTAAGATTAAACCTGCTCCAAAGTGGTTAATATTAACTTTTAAAGCTTTAAATTCAATACTTTGCAATTATATTTGTTATCCGATTTGTTATTTTAATTTCAAGTTACTTAGTTAAATCTTAGCCAGACACCATAATTTAACGTTATGGCTATTAAGCAATATGTTTTTATTACACCTAACTGCCTAATTTGATTTTTGTGGCAGTTTACCAATTTAAATCAAATATTTTATACGCCATATTGAGGAATGGCATTTATGTTTATTTTTGTTAAATTAATTTATTGCTTCAACAGGAGATCAATGCTTTAAAAATATAGTTGAATATCAGCTGTCAACTATAATGCCGCCTATTGTTCGATTGTTTGTACACATTTCACCGTTTTCCACGATAATTATTGTTACTCTATGTAATTAGTATCGAAAAAGAATCAAAATATCAACTGTGAGAAATCGCTCTAAATTTTCGGCAAAATATTCTTCGTTTAAAAAGTTAAACAAGTCTATATTATTATGTTACCGTTTAAGTTTAAAAAGTGGACCTTCAAGAAATTTTTTAGACCCTTAGGTCCTGTACTATGACTTTTTAGTCATTATTTGGCTATATTCGTTTCCTTTGACTACTTTTTGTATATTTGAATTTCACTCCACCCTTCCTCATATTCTAAATTTTAAAATTTAGTAACTCCAAAAGTAATAGTTACCCAAAATTGGTTACCGACCAATCTACATATTTAGACAATTATTCTTAATTTAAATATTAAATTAAATATATAGGTTGCTATTTGAGTTTCTGAAAGTTGATATGGTTATGGAAATAAGATTATATAAGAAATAAGGCTAATATTTATTATTTTTATAATATTGTAAAATATGATAACCAAATACGTTTTCAAAAAAGTAATACTACAAAATTGCTATTATTCTAAGAAAAACCAAGCGTTTTACCATTAATAAATCACCCTGTATATTTATATATATGCCTTACCCTGTGGGATTCTGATAACCAGTGGACTTGTTGGGTTGTCCTGGCTTAAAATGAGGCCCCTATTTTTTTTCCCCACCAATTTTAATGTTATCACCATATTGAATATTTGTTAATGGTCATTTATAAATTGTTAAAAAAAATTGTTATAGATACCAAAAAAAAACTGTTTTTATCGTAGTACGAAAATGGGATAAGTACAACTAGTATTTTTTGGCATTTTAAAAAATTAACTCTTGGCTGCATCGTTACTCCTAAATCAAAAGGAAAATCAAATTTTACCTAGACAAAGTTTGTTTTTCTTTATCTTATTTTACTATATTTCACCATTTTTAATATCAACTACATGGACATTTTTTTTAAAAACTTAACTGTACTCAATCTATCTTTAAACTATGATGAATATACTTGGTTTTAGTGTCAAATAAAAAAAGTTTTATTAAAATTGCCCATTGTTTTGTATTCCAATCAATTAAAAAATATTTCCAATTGTGGTGACCATAAAAGATGGTGGACAATGTTCAACAAATTAAGGCGTTTAATTTTAGGCCAATACGAATCAATAATAATTGTTAGAGAGTGAGGTTTTTGTATAATTTCCCTCATTGGCGCATGTGTTTCAAAAGTTACACCGCGTTTAAAAGTAAATACAAATTTGAAAGTATGATTTTCCATGGAAATATTACTTATCGAATTCTCACCTAAGCGTTAACCCGAATACTTATTTTTTTTTCTTAAGAAAAACACTTGGGTGACTTGTGGTGCGTTACCTTTTCCACTGTTTACATAAATGAAAATATACGAATCGTTTTTACACGTTCAAAATACGTCGACAAATTCAAGGTCTTAAGAAATTCATGGCCAACTCGACGATTTTCTATAATAATAAAAAAAACAACCTATGTGAATAATTTTTGGTTTTTTGTAACACAATGTTATGTCAAGGTCGTTGTAATTTTCCCCCTTTCAGTAGGACGATTTAGGAAGGGGTGATTTAGATATTTGTATTTTTTTTTTTTTAAGTAAAATCAAATTTGATTGAACTTTGAAGCTCATAACCATAGCTTTTTGACATTTTTAAAAAAAAATTCGATTTCTACAATAGTCGTTAAGCGTTTTAACGACTTAATTAATTGTTTAATCAGATAAATTAGATTATTATTTTTTATATTTTAATATCCACGTTTGAAAGGGTTTGGTTAAACGTCGGTTTTGTTGATATCTTAAATAGCTTTGTTTTTGTTAACTGTTTAAAATTCACTTTTTTCTGTTTATATTTGAAGGGCTGCGGGGAAAAAAGATCAATGTCAATTTTTGTTCATTCTGAGAAAATCATGTTTTTAATTTCAAAACGTAATACATTATGCTGAGCCAACTGTATTGGTTTTTTTTTCTTTATTTCACTTTTTCAAGCAGTTTTGGGCATTTAGGGTACAGGAAATTTAGATCTAGAATGGAACTATAACATATAACATTTTCTCAACAATATCTGCGGTCAAATGAAAATATATCATTGCATTTATATAGACAGACAATCGTATCCACCCAGCGTTTGTTTAAAAATGATTTTATCACTTTCAGTTATAATAATTTCTGTAGACCTATGACCTCCCCCTCCCCACTATGCCTTGACTCAAGTGTACTGGCTTTATTTCTGGAAAAATGTAAACGAAAAGGACGATTACTTTCTAACATGTACAAATTTCTTTAACT